CGACTCTGATGTAGTGTTGGGAGACTAGTCGGTATACGTGATTTCGAGAATCCTCACCATTCTGACAGGGAGAAAGTAGATGGCACGATAGAGGCTCGTATAGGCGACGGTTGAAACTGCGATGGCACACCTAACTGATCGATGGCATGGTGAATTGAACCAAACCAACCAAAACCATAGGGTTTCAATATATGGGAGCGTGAGGCATTTTGCTTGTGGAAGTGCCCTTGAGGTGGCGTGTGTCATAAGCACGTCGGTTGGTTAGTGGGCACATTAAGGGGGAGGTGAAGAGAAGGCCAGATTTTGGGAAGGAGGCAGAGGCGGCGCCATGGAGGACCAGGCAGTGGGAGCGAGGGAGCGAGAGTTCGAGCTCACAGGCTCGTAATCAACTAATTCAACTCAGGAGGAGCAATGAAATGTTTGATGTAGAATGAGCTGTTGTATCAGGTTGAATCATCGATGGTTTCAGTCTCGAATCACGTAGAGTACAATGTATAACCGTTATTCCACGATACACTGTATTTCAAAGACCTAGTTGTGTGCGTTAAAACCACAGAGAAAAATTACAATAAGGAAAAAAGACGAACTTTAATCGAGCTGCTGCCCTGGACAAGGAAGCTTTTCAACGCTTGAAAGCGTCACAATATGCTCTGACTTGGCATAAGAAAGGGAGTGTCTGTGGGCTATCCATCTCAAATTGAATGGAATGATGAGGTCGTCGTGATGAACAGCGATCAATGGGCGTTTGTCGCTGTTGTCGTCATTGTTCAAGCTCCTTCCATCGAACCATCACTCTAAAATTTTAACCAACGCACCACAATACCACTATCCACTACTATCCAGCCCTCCAAATCTGCTCATGTTGCAGATTTAACACCCAACTCTAGTATCGGAGTAAAATCAAGGTCCTCGTCCTGCCTTCGTCCTATCCTCTGTGGCCCCTGTGGCCTTGTGATTATGGGTCTCGCCACTCGAGCGATGATAACGAGGTTCTCTATCTTGACCTGTGTTCGCGCCTTATGCTTAAAGCTGCGGCCGGCCGACACATAACGGACCAAAATTTGGAGGTCTTTTAAATAACCTAGTACAGATGTCGCCCGAGATTCTTGTTAATTGACGCTAAAGTAGGTTGTGCTCCACCATGTTCGCCCGCACAATTTGTCTCACTTGTAAATCAGCTTCCTGAGAGCAACTGATGCTCTGCTGGTCGGGGAGGACGGGTTGGATGCGATGAAAGCCTGGCAGGAGGGTGCAGAACACAGAACGGCTGGGCGGTTTCTCTTTGATTCGGAAGGGCGGTGGTAGTGTGAAGCTTGCTTCTCGCGGATCTTTCTTCGGAGAAGTAGGGCTGGTTATCTTGACGCATTTCTTGCATCATCGTGGATCCATCTCGCCGTCTGCGGATGGTCGAGTGCACCCAACCGAGAGGATTAATGCGGTCGCTTCTGCAGCAAGGTAGGCTTTCCGGTCTCCATGCCGTTAGCGCCTTAATGTTGAATCCTAGGCTTACTATAGCTACCTCCAATACGCGGCGCTCAATCGCTGGACGGCTAGGATGTTATGCGCTCATCCAATGCTTCAAGCCCCACACAAACATGGGAAACATCGCGCCTGTGCCACTATAGGTGTCTTGCCGTTGAAGATGCGACCAACCACGATTCAGATGTCAATTAAACTCAACACACATCAATCTCAAAAGGTGTCCGTAGAGACCGAGAGTACAGTTTGGTTGTTCTGCGGTGTTCTGCGCGCTGGCTTTGTGGCAGTTTGCCTTCTTTTTGTTTTTTGACAGAAGGGCCAGACCAGGTCGTGCCAGTAATTTCCGCGCTGATGGAGAGCTACTATGTTCGTCAGTAGCACGCCTACCGCGGCGCAATGCCTCGCGATCCTTGGGCGGAATCGTTCTATAGACGTCCCTTGATAGTCTTGAGCGCCCGAATTGATAGATTCGCGGTACGATGCTGCAGATCAAACTGAGTTGTTCGCGCCCCAAGATAATTTGATACCTCTGTCCGAGGACGAGGCTGACATCTAAAAGAGATGTACGATGCCACCATGCAGTGTCAGAAGGAAGCACAAGCTTGCAGCTTCGTTCATGCTATTACAACGGATGGGTGTCGCAGAGGTCAGCTCTCTCCCGAAAGCGGGGCACCGAGCGGTATGATTGCGCGAATGGACGGCCGATACGCAAGACGAGCATCCTGCATTATCTTCACTAGTAATACATCGCCCGTCCTAAGTTCCTAAGAAAGCGAATGAGCCCCACCTCGAAAGGAACCCCAAGCACGGACTCACCCGCATCACCAACATCACCACAAAAGGATCATTTCCTCCTCCAACCACCCACCCACAGCGGCGTCTATGCCGCCGGCCCCTCCCCAACACCATCATACCACACCCTGCGCACCCACCGCCGTCGCCGCGTCACGCTCCCGGGGTACGGCACGCCCTGGGCCGCGCCCCACGCGTCGTTCGTGTATATCCAGCCGTCGGCGTCTGGTGGGGTCATCGTCAGTTACGATCGCGAGGCGAGAGTGAGAGAAGGGGAAAGGGGGGATAATGCGAGCGAAAGGGGAACATGGCGAGAGGAAGACGGAGGTGACGCTAAGAGTGCGAGGGGGGATGGTAGAGAGACATGCATGTCCGTGTAGGGAGGGCGAGGATACGGTCGTGTATGAGCCGACGGCGGAGGTGGAAAAAACAAAGCAGCCAACGACGCAACAAAAAAGCGGGGCAGGACTACAAAACAAAAACACCGAACGAGAAGGGAACCCACCCGGCGAAAGCTGCACGCCCGCCCACGCCCTCACTCTATCCCGCCTCCACCCCTCCGACCCCACAAACGCCCACCCCGGCGCCAACGAGAACGAGAGATTGCTGCTGCGAATCAAGTGGTCAACGACAGTCCCCATCACACAAAAAAAGAAGGCACCCAGACCTCACCACGCCCTCGCCCTCGCCCCCGGTCTCCTGCTGCTGCGGCTGCTCCTCGTCCGCAGCGGATCCCGACCGCGACCGCGGCCGGATCCCGCCCCACCCGTCCTGCCCCCGCGTCCACGCGCGCCGCTCGCCGCCCCGCAGATGCGCCTTGCCCCACCCGGGGTCCGCAGGGTCCGGCGGGGGCGCCGCGATACCGCCACCCGCCAGGGGCAGCGGCGGCAGCGAGAACCGGTGCTCGCGCGGCGTCGGGGTCGGGGCCGGCCACATATCCTCCGGGGGCAGGCCGGAGAACGAGGCGGCGGGGGAGGGGGAGTGGGTGTTGTTCGCGTCGGCGGCGGTGCCGTCGGGGTATGCGGAGGGGAGGGGGCCCGGGCTCGAGCGCGGTGCGAGCCGCTCGTTCTCCCATAGCTCGACGTCGCGCATCTCGGCGCGCCAGCACGTGTCGTCCAGCCTGTCGTTGTCGCGGAGCCGCTCTAGGAGCGTCTGCAGCGGGGGCGGTGGGTGTTTGTCTGACACGTCGACGAAGGCGGGTGCCCGCGTGCTCATCCAGTGCACGTATGTCGTCCGGAGTTCGGTGTATCGCCTGGAAAGCACCACGACCACGTTATCCGCTAGTGCCGTCGCGAGTTTGGCCAGGGGCCCGAGGAGAGGTCGGATGTGTGGGTGGGTGCCGATGAGCGGTGCGAGACCTCCCACGAGACATACGAGACGGGTGGGGAAGAGTGGTGATGCTAGGAGGGCGACAAGGGGCGGGAATGTGAGCAGGAGGGAGAGAAGGATGAGAGGAGGATACGACGAGGTAGGAGGAGAGGGCGACGGCGGATCGGCAGGCGAGGGTAGGTGTGCCGGTGTCAGCTGGAGAAGATGCGTGTGGGGTTGAACCAAGTCGTGAGCGTCTGAACTAGAAAGGGGTCAGTAGACTTCTAAATGAAAAGAATTACTACAACGTACACGGCTCCCATCAGGTTCTGAATAGCTTGCAAGTTGCCCTGCCAGTCGACTGAATTTGATGCTGGCGCCTCTCCTGGCTTTGTATTCGTCGAGTATGGATAGGATGCAAGCATGATCGCGATGAGGGACATGTGCGGAATGGCGAAGACCATCTTTGGAAAGTAACCTATGAAGAACTAAGTTCAACTCCATATAGATGAGAGGAGTACGCACAGAAAAACGCATATGCCGCCATCCAGACAGCCGTGACTCTCCAACCCCGCTTCCACAAGACCACCTCCTCAACGCGATCCTGCATCCAGAATATCGGCCCCGACTTGGCTACGAACCGCTTGAAATTCGCAGTCGTTATTGGAATCGAGAGCGGCTCTTTCGTCGTCAAGAGCTGAGGACCTTTTCGGGCATCCTTCTCCTTGTCTTTTGGGGGTGTCGAGGGGCCATTGGGACCAGGAAGCGCGGAAGAAAGGAGCATTTGTGGAAGAAGGGCAAAGGCAGCGGATGTCGGGGAAGTCATGCTCTGAGCTAATGAATTCGTCGAAGAGTCAAGAAATGGTGTAGATGGCGCAGACGTGGGTGTCGGAAGTGATATTACCACTTTCTTTGCTCGCTGCAACGGAGCCGACGACGACGACGACGAGGGTGGCATTGACTGAAGCCGCGTGGCGGACGAAGGAACGGAGACGTAGGCAAGCGATGCCATGGTCGATAGGTTGTGTAGCTATAACCTCTACCTTGCCTCTACCGGCACGGATGAAGGAAATGGAGGTACCGAGGTCGTCGTTGGAAGACCCACCAGCCACCACAGTTCAATTACCTGGTTGTGTGGATGTGGTGCAAGGTCGGTTGCGAGGATAGAAACTTGAAGTTACTGTAAGGAAAGGCCCCAACTTCCAAGATTGTGATGACGTGACGGACCGAAAGATTCACATGATTGTCGAGCCATGTGACCGAGACGCGTCGATCGGCGTGTTTGCATAATCATTAGCGGGGCCGGGGTTGAATCGCGTGAGGCGACATGGGAAAGTGGGAAAGCTGTAGTGACGGACACGAGACATTCGTAGATTAGTGACGCCTGCAGAAGTGGGTCAAAACGAAGGCAAAAACTTCAGTGCCCTCTGCAAGGCTCGAACTTGCGACCTCAGGATTGCATAATCGGAATTATGTCATATTGCTATGAGACCTGCGCTCTAGCCAACTGAGCCAAGAAGGCATGATATTTGGCTGTCTTTGCACATCCTGGACAGATCTCATGTATGACTGTATTTTTCGCAAAAAATGCCCGATTCAAGGGATTTTTGTACATTGTAGTTGGTGATCCTTGTTTCTGGGTGGGTT